GCCGGATGGTGACCCGCCCTCTTGTTGACCCCGCCCACCCAAGGTCAAAGAATGCCAGGGTGCAGGAGGGCTCCAGCATGCCCACAACCTCACTCTCCTGCAGGAAATGAAATAAATCATGCTGATAACTGTATAACAAAATGTTATCATATTAGTTATCAAAACTCAGTAAGTCAGTACGACTAGTGGGTGTAATAAAGTAACCTGGAGGGTGTGGGCGTGGGCGGGCGTGGGCTGACGCGGGAGTGAGTGGAGGTACAGCTGTCCGTCTTCTAGAGTTATCCTGGCGGAGCGGCAGCCATCTTTGTCTTCCTGGACGGCCAACACCCGGCCAGCCTCCACCAGCCTCTTGACGGGCTCCCTCATCCTGCGGAGGTCCTCAACCTGTGGACAGTGTCAGCCCCATTATCACCTGTGGTCAGTGTCAGCCCCATTATGACCTGTGGTCAGTGTCAGCCCCATTATCACCTGTGGTCAGTGTCAGCCCCATTATCACCTGTGGTCAGTGTCAGCCCCATTATGACCTGTGGTCAGTGTCAGCCCCATTATCACCTGTGGTCAGTCACCTTATCACCTGTGGTCAGTGTCAGCCCCATTATCACCTGTGGTCAGTGTCAGCCCCATTATCACCTGTGGTCAGTGTCAGCCCCATTATCACCTGTGGTCAGTGTCAGCCCCATTATCACCTGTGGTCAGTGTCAGTCCCATTATCACCTGTGGTCAGTGTCAGCCCCCATTATCACCTGTGGTCAGTGTCAGCCCCATTATCACCTGTGGTCAGTGTCAGCCCCATTATCACCTGTGGTCAGTGTCAGCCCTATTATCACCTGTGGTCAGTGTCTGCCCAATTATCAACTTTGGTCAGTGAGAGACCCATTATCAGTCAATCACACCTACCACATTCACCACAATCAGCACATTACACTACACATAAACTGAAGCCATTCAAGGAAAGCACCTACTGGCAAAGGGTTGTTGCTGGACCTGTAGCTCCAGCTCCCCCCCCCCCCTCTACTGGCAGGGGGTTGGTGCTGGACCGGTACCTCCAGCCCCCCCCTCACCTGGAAGGGGGTTGGTGCTGGACCTGTAGCTACAGCCCACCTCTACTGGCAGAGGGTTCGTGCTGGACCTGTAGCTCCAGCCCTTACTCTACTAGCCAGGGGTTTGTGTTGGACCTGTAGCTACAGCCCCCCCCTCTACTGACAGGGGGTTGGTGCTGGACCTGTAGTTCCAGCCCCCCTCTACTGACAGGGGGTTGGTGCTGGACCTGTAGCTCCAGCCACCCTCTACTGGCAGGGAATTGGTGCTGGACCTGTAGCTCCAGCCCCCCTCTACTGGCAGGGGGTTGGTGCTGCACTTGTAGCTCCAGCCCTTCCTCTACTGGCAGGGGATTGGTGTAGCTACAGGTGTTGGACTTGTAGCTACAGCCCACCTCTACTATAAATTTACACAATTCATGCAAGTTGTCTGACAGCAAGCAGTTCACTTACTGCTTACTCTACTGTCAGGGGGTTCGTGCTGGACCTGTAGTTCCAGCCCCCCTGCTACTGGCAAGGGGTTGGTGCTGGACCTGTAGCTTCAGCCCCTCCTCTACTGGTAGGGCGTTGCTGCTGGACCTGTAGCTTCAGCCCACCTCTAGTGGCAGGGGGTTGGTGCTGGACCTGTAGCTCCAGCCCCCCCTCTACTGGCAGGGGGTTAGTTCTGGACCTGTAGCGCCAGTCCTCCTCTACTGGCAGGGGGTTGGTGCTAGACCTGTAGCTCCAGGCCACCTCTACTGGCACGGGGTTGGTGATGGACTTGTAGCTCCAGCTCCCTTCTACTGGCAGGGAATGGGTGCTGGACCTGTAGCTCCAGCCCACCTCAACTGTCAGGGGGTTGGTGCTGGACCCGTAGCTTCAGCCCACCTCTACTGGCAGGGGGTTGGTGCTGGACCTGTAGCTCCAGCCCACCTATACTGGCAGGGGGTTGGTGCTGGACCTGTAGCTCCAGTGCTGAGCGGCACTGGAGGGAGGACCGGCTCCAGGGAGCTGGTCGGCGGAGCGGACAGCATGCTGGACTTGTGATCCTGTGGTCCCGGGTTCGATCCCAGGCGCCGGCGAGAAACAATGGGCAGAGTTTCTTTCACCCTATGCCCCTGTTACCTAGCAGTAAAATAGGTACCTAGGTGTTAGTCAGCTGTCACGGGCTGCTTCCTGGGGGTGGAGGCCTGGTCGAGGACCGGGCCACGGGGACACTAAAGCCCCGAAATCCTCTCAAGATAACCAGCCCCCCCTCTACTGGCAGAGGGGTTGGTGCTGGACCTGTAGCTCCAGCCCCCTTCTACTGGCAGGGGGTTGGTGCTGGACCTGTTGCTCCAGCCCCCCGCCCCCTCTAATGGAAGGGGGGGGGGGAGGTGTTGGTGCTGGACCTGTAGCTCCAGCCCCCTCTACTGGCAGAGGGGTTGGTGTTTGACCTGTAGCTCCAGCCCCCCGCCCCCTCTAATGGATGGGGGGGGGGAGTTGGTGCTGGCCCTGTAGCTTCAGCCCCCTCTCTACTGGCAGGGGGTTGGTGCTGGCCCTGTAGCTTCAGCCCCCTCTCTACTGGCTGGGGGTTGGTGCTGGACCTGTAGCCCCAGCCCACCTCTACTGGCAGGGGGTTGGTGCTGGACCTGTAGCTCCAGCCCCCCCTCTACTGGCAGAGGGTTGGTGCTGGACCTGTAGCTCCAGCCCACCTCTACTGGCAGGGGGTTAGTGCTGGACCTATAGCTCCAGCCCCCTTTCTACTGGCAGGGGGTTGGTGCCGGACCTGTAGCTCCAGCCCCCTCCCTCCTCTACTGGCAGGGGGTTGGTGCTGGATCTGTAGCTACAGCCCCCCCCCCTCTACTGGCATGGGGTTGGTCCTGGACCTGTAGCTCCAGCCCCCCTCTACTGGCAGGGGATTGGTGCTAGACCTGTAGCTTCAGCCCCCTCTATACTGGCAGGGGGTTAGTGCTGGACCTGTAGCTTCAGCCCCCCCTATACTGGCACGGGGTTGGTGCTGGACCTGTAGCTCCAGCCCCCCTCTACTGGTAGGGGGCTTGGTGCTGGACCTGTAGCTCCTGCCCACCTCTACTGGCAGGGGGTTGGTTCTGTACCTGTAGCTCCAGCCCACCTCTACTGACAGGGGGGGGTTGGTGCTGGACCTGTAGCTCCAGCCCCCCCTCTACTGGCAGGGGGGTTGGTGCTGGACCTGTAGCTCCAGCCCCCCTCTACTGGCAGGGGGTTGGTGCTAGACCAATAGCTCAAGCCCCACTCTACTGGCAGGGGGTTGTTGCTGGACCTATAGCTTAAGCCCCCCTCTACTGGCAGGGGGTTGGTGCTGGACCTGTAGCTCCAGCCCCCCTCTACAGGCAGGGGGTTGGTGTTGGACCTGTAGCTCCAGCCTCCCTCTACTGGCAGGAGGATGGCCCTGGATCTGTAGCTCCAGCTCCCTCTACTGGCATGGGCTTGGTGCTGGACCTGTAGCTACAACCCCCCCCCCCCTTTACTGACAGGGGGTTGGTGCTGGACCTGTAGCTCCAGCCCCCCCTCTACTGGCAGGGGGTTGGTGCTGGACAAGTAGCTCCAGCAACCCTCTACTGGCAGGGGGTTGGTGCTGGACCTGTAGCTCCAGCCTCCTCTACTGGCAAGGGGATGGCCCTGGATCTGTAGCTCCAGCCTCCTCTACTGGCAGGGGGTTGGTGCTGGACCTGTAGCTCCAGCCTCCTCTACTGGCAGGGGGTTGGTGCTGGACCTGTAGCTCCACCCCCCCCCCCCTCTACTGGCAGGGGGTTGGTGCTGGACCTGTAGCTCCAGCCCTCCTCTACTGGCAGGGGGTTGGTGCTGGACCTGTAGCTCCAGCCTCCTCTACTGGCAGGGGGTTGGTGCTGGACCTGTAGCTCCAGCCTCCTCTACTGGCAGGGGGTTGGTGCTGGACAAGTAGCTCCAGCAACCCTCTACTGGCAGGGGGTTGGTGCTGGACCTGTAGCTCCAGCCTCCCTCTACTGGCAGGTGGTTGGTGCTGGACCTGTAGCTCCAGCCCCCCTCTACTGGCAGGGGGTTGTTGCTGGACCTGTAGCTCCAGCCCCCCTCTACTGGCAGGGGTTGGTACTGGCATTGTTTGGGAGTTTGTTGGCAGTTTCAAGGCTCCAGTCTCTTCGAAGCCAGCAGTGGTCTATTTTGGTTCACTGTCTTCCTGGATGCTTTCCCGGTAAGATGGAGAGTGGTGACACTCCACCACTCTACTTGGTGGAGTGTCACCCACTCTCTGTGCCTCTGTGAGGGGGGGGGGGCAAGGATCCTAGGTTCAATAGAGGATCACAGGTTCAATCACCATGCAGGACATAAATGGTTCACATGTTTCCTTTCACCTGTTGCTCCTGTTCACCTACCAGTAAATATTTATCCTAGAGGTAGGAAACTATTGTAAATTGTATGTTAAGGAAAGTCAGTAGTAAACCTTGGGGAACCTCGATAAACCTAAGAACAGGCTTCCTCTCCTCAAAATGCAACTCAATATCTTGTGATATGACCTATGAGAGAAAATAAAAAACTTACTGTTAATTGCTTCCGGGGGATCTCTCCAGTGATTTCCTGAACTTTATTCATGATGCTGGAGGCTGAGTCTCCCAGGTGTACGGGTTCAGCTGTTGCACCTGTCTCTGTGGTCGTCATCTCCAGGGCCTCCCTGATGGTCTCCTGCACCTGTCATTACCAACACAAACATTAATGGTGGAGGCTGAGTCTCCCAGGTGTACGGGGTCAGCTGTGGCACCTGTCTCTGTGGTCGTCATCTCCAGGGCCTCCCTGATGGTCTCCTGCACCTGTCATTACCAACACAAACATTAATGGTGGAGGCCGAGTCTCCCAGGAGTACGGGGTCAGCTGTGGCACCTGTCTCTGTGGTCGTCATCTCCAGGGCCTCCCTGATGGTCTCCTGCACCTGTCATTACCAACACAAACATTAATGGTGGAGGCTGAGTCTCCCAGGTGTACGGGGTCAGCTGTGGCACCTGTCTCTGCGGTCATCATCTCCAGGGCCTCCCTGATGGTCTCCTGCACCTGTCATTACCAACACAAACATTAATGGTGGAGGCTGAGTCTCCCAGGTGTACGGGGTCAGCTGTGGCAACTGTCTCTGTGATCATCATCTCCAGGGCCTCCCTGATGGTCTCCTGCACCTGTCATTACCAACACAAACATTAATGGTGGAACCTGGACTATAATGAAGCATCAGGCTCTGAGTAAAGTAACTGGACTATAATGAAGCATCAGACTCTGGGTAAAATAACTGGACTATAATGAAGCATCAGGCTCTGAGTAAAGTAACTGGACTATAATGAAGTATCAGGCACTGAATAAAGTGACTGGACTATAATGAAGCATCAGGCTCTGAGTAAAATAACTGGACTATAATGAAGTATCAGGCACTGAATAAAGTAACTGGACTATAATGAAGCATCAGGCTCTGAGTAAAGTAACTGGACTATAATGAAGCATCAGGCTCTGAGTAAAGTAATTTGACAATAGAAGTAATGTTTCTCTACACTGACCACAGTGTAGAGAAACACCAAGATGACAGTTGACTTTATTAATAAAAATGTTTCAGGTGATAAAGCAAAAAGTTTCTTATCTATAAAGTCTACTCTCATCTTGATGTGTGTCCATGTCAAAAGTGTTTATATAGAGGCAATACTACACTCAGTTGGGTGAGAACAATGTGAACTTCAGCAGCGTACCTTCACTGAGGTGTGGACAGTCTTGACATTTGGGAAGAGTTCCTGGCACTTCTGGAGCCAATTTTCTACCTCCATGTTGCATTGGTCAACTTCATTGATGGTCATGAATACTTCCTGCGCTGTGTTGACTGTGTCGAGGTTCCCCAATATGGCCTGCAGCTGAATCTTCCCTTCCTCTCCTTGTGTTGTCATATCCACCACACTGGTATCCTCCAGTTCCAAGAGCTTCATTGCTGACTTATTCTGCTCCACCAGAGCATAGAGTCTGTCCTGGAGCTGGAGGTGGTGAGTCTTCCAGTCCCCCAGCTGCCCCCGGTACTCCCCCAGCTGGGACAATACCTCTTCACAGCTAGTAATGAGGCTGCTGATGTTGCTCTTCTGCTCCTCCATTATGGAATGTAACTTCTTGCTGATTCCTCTTGCAGGAGCTTTAATGGGTTTTGCTGGTAACGTTTTCTCTGGTACAACCTCGATACCTTTTAGTTTTCTGATAAGGGCCTCCATACCATAATTAATTGGGAACTGAGTAGCAGCTGTGGCAGCGTGCTCGGCACGGCAGCTGGGGCAGGTCAGCTGACCATTCTTGATAGCATTGTCAATACACTGGGAGCAGAATGTGTGGCCGCACGGCAGTGTGCGAGGCCGTAGCTGATTGTCATCATAATTGTTAAAACACACTGAACATTCCTCTGGGTTGTTATCCTGTGGAAAAAAATATTTGGTTAAGCTAGAAGAATTTACAACAAAAAGCAATACTGTATTACAGTATTGTACTGTATTTACCAATACAAATTACATAATATTTACATAATTTCTTTGTACAGAGGAGCCTCAGTGTTTGCACTGCTAATAATTCGCACTTTTTGGTACTCAGACGCTGTGTTCATGTTCGGTATTCGTGTGTTTGCTCGACATTCAGATGTAAACACGCGTCCCTGATGCATCAGTTTCACCATAGCTGTTGGTCAGTGCACAACCCACTACACTTTTCTCTTGGATATTTTTTTATATTCTTATTGTAAATAAGTCACCATGTCACCTATGAAAGTTTGTGATATGAGCCTAGCAAAAAGAACAACGGTTAGAATCACGATACAGATGAAGAAAGAACTCACAGCTAAATATGAGAGTGGTACCTGAGTGTCAGCTCTTGTTACAGAGTTTGTTATGCCTAAATCTAGTTCTCTATTAAAAGAAATGTGTGCAAAATGAGGGAAAGTGTAAACCTTTTCTTGAAATTATCATCTTGACAAACTGTGTTATAAATCTGTTGAATGAATGCTATGTCTCACTTTAAAAACATTTTAATGCACAGGCAAAAACAATCATCCTTGGACAAGTTTCTTGTAAGGAAAGCATTCAGTGAGTGTAATGAGGGAAACAGAAAAAGACAGAAAAGAGAAAGAACATCAGAAGCACAACTTCCAGAAGTTTTAATGTTAGGGAACTCCCCTGCCAAAGAACATCTCTCTTCCTCTGCCTCATTAGTTTCCACATATGCCATCAACTCTCCAAAGTACAGGTAAAGTGTAGTGTGTTAGCATTTATTCCATTTAATTATTGTATAACTATACAGTATTTATTTTTGTGGTTTGGAACTGATTAATCCATTATACATTATTCCTTACTAGCTGTACTTGGCCATGCGTTGCTGTGGCTCAGCAACACATGTGCGTTGTTGAGCCACAGTAACCTTTCCCTGTCTCCCAGTCCTCCCCACCATTCCCCGGTCCCCTCATCCTCCCAACCATTCCTCACTCCCGCGTCCCCTCGTCCTCCCCACCATCTCCTCCTCCTGACCATTCCCCACTCCACCATCCCTTCAGCCTCCTAACCATCTCTCACTCCCCCATCAACTCATCCACCCGACAATTCCCCCCCCTCCCCCGTCCCCTCATCCTCTTCACCATCACCCACTCCCCCTGTCCCCTTGTGCTCCCCACCATTCTCCATTCCTCGGTCCCCACGTCACCATCCCCAACTCCCCCATCCCCTCATCCTTCCCATCAGTACCCCCCTCCCCTGTTCCCCCCCTCACCATTCCTCCCCCTCCCACTCCCGTCCCCTCGTCCTCCCCACCTTTCCCCACTCCCTCGTCTTATGCATTCCCAAATGATCTGATGTTCCCATTAGAAAATTGGGAACATCAAATGATCTGATGTTCCCATCACTGAAATATAAGAAAAACAGTTAAAAAACAAAACAAAAAAACAAAAAACAAAAACAATCTACACTCACAAAATTTACGGTATGATAAATCACAGCTCAATTCCAACGCCATGTCGCACAAAATAATTACTGTAGACACTCAATTATCCGGGATTCGAATATCCGGAAAACACCCTTATACGGTCAAAATCGTGACCGGATAAAGTTATCTCAATATCCGGCCAAAATGTCCATAGGAGCCGGAAAATCAGGTGTTTGTCCGGATAAAAATCTGGGCCGGTTAACTTGCTGCCGATGTTGCAATATCCGGACAGTCAGCCAGACAAGGAGTGAATTGTCCGGATATGAAAGCCAGGCTGCGGGCCGTACCATATTAATCCAGTACGGCTGTGGCTCGAGGCGCATGGTGTAGGAGGGGGTGGGGTGGGTGGTTGGTATCGGGAGAGAGGGGAGAGAGGGGACCGTTGGGAGGGATAACATGGGGGGATATGGGGGAATGTGGAGTGGCCTATACACTACGGTACAGTAATTACCATTAATTTTAGAACAATTCATCATAGCCAAAAACAAAAGAAATACTAGAATACTAAATATTTTTTCCAGTGTTCTGACATCAATTTTTGTGTTACGTCTTCCATTTTGGTATCAAATTGTGCGCAATTTAAAGGCGCATATTTTAAAACTAGTTCCATAATAATAAAACAATAAATAGAATTTTAACAAATATTTTAACTTTTGGACACTTTTTAACGCTCGTCACCACAAAATTATTTATATCTTTCTAGTGTTCTGACATCAATTTTCATGTGACGTCTTTCATTTTGGCATCAAATTGTGTGGAATCTAAAGGTGCTCATTTTGAAACCACACCCAGATTGATCAGTTAAAATTTTAATTTTTAACAAATATTTTAATGGATGATTTCAGACCGCGTCATCCGAGACGGCCCAGGAGAAAAACGGATGTCACTGGAAAGCGACATCGAAGCGTGAAAGTGTTATTAATACACTCACCAACACAGGTTAGTGACAACTGTTATGAGCCACCAGTCCCACATAATATCCACCCCACCCAGTATGAGAGTTATAGTATTCCATACTTATACCATGTTTGGACTGGCTTATAACCCATTAATATGCAATACAGCATGTGTAGTTAGGTAGGTAGTACTGAATTTATAAGTGTTTCAGGCTCTCCAGACAACAGTATCAACAAAAACTCCATGATTTGCTCATCATCAGCTCTACTGAACTGTCTGAAGAACAAGGTCAAAACTGTTCAAGTGTAGCCCATCAACTGATTACATCAGAGATAAACTTTAATGATACTATTAAATCTATCAGAATAGATAAAAACAATCACCACAGCACCAGATAGATGCTCACTAAACTAGCTTATCCCAATGATAAGTAAGACCTCATTCAATCAGCTACAAATATAAAACCAACCTTTATATTAATGAGTGCCTTACCAAGCACTGTTGATCCTCCTCTACAGACTGCAAGATATTCACAAACAAAACCCAAATCTTATCAAGCAGTGCTACACCAGGAATGGAACGATCATTGCTAAGAAAGAACAGCAAAAGACATGAAATCAAAAGTGTCCAACAATTACTAACTTTCTTTGTTGATTGTGACATAACTGGAAGTCAGCGAACTTCCAATGTCATTGCTGAGAGTAACACATGAGTGACCAAGCCTTACCTAGCCTAACCATATTTAAATTTATTATATATATATATATATATATATATATATATATATATATATATATATATATATATATATATATATATATATATATATTAATTACTAAATGCTTCTTTTTTATATTAATGGCTTTAAATACATATAATTTACCCTCTTATAACTATTACTACAAAGACTTCAATTTTATAAAATGTAATAATTTTTTGAATGCTTAATTTGTCTAGTTATCAGATTCTTAGTTTACAATATTTGCAACTTACCCATTTATCTGTTGAAACTAACACTTCAATTTCCCAAAATGTTATAAACCTTGAACTCTTAATTTGTCAAATTATCTGAATCTTTAATTCATTACTTTGTGAATTAAAAATTAATAATTTAATTTCTCACTTATGTATCTGCCCATTAATATTAGCTACTAATCTTGTTTGTTGTCTAATATTCCAGTATTGTTAATGGATTCTTAAGCTTTAAGTACATCAGTGTTTCCAGCCCATATGTGTTTGTTTCTATTGCATACCCTTATCCAACTTGTCTTATTACCATATGATATTACTGTATTACAATCTTAAGAGATTACTGAATTTTTAATTTGATTAATTATGTTTCCTTTTTTATTAATTATTTTGAATCTAAATCCATTTATTTATTCATAATCTTAATCTAATTGTCTAATTCTCACTTTGTTCTCTTTTTTTTTTTTGCCTGTGTATTACCTGTTTATATTGCATATCTTTGCCCATCTTGTATTATTACCATATAATATTCATGTATTACAATATTAATTTAATTCTTAAATTAGCTAATTATTTGTATTCCATTTGATTAATTATTTGAATCTTAATTTGTTTACTCTAGGAATCTAAATTTGATTAATTATCTAATTTCCCACTCTTCTGTTCTTTATTATTTTTACTTTTATATCTGGTAAATTTTATTACTTATATCAGTATCTGCTAAATTTTATTACTTATATCAGTATCTGCTAAATTTTATTACTTACATATCTGCTGAATAATATTTGCAATCACTTCTCTATTCTTGCATTTTTTCTTTTCACATACAGTGCATCATCACTCTAACAGACCCCGCTCTAACGAATTCCCAGATGGTCCAAATGAATTGCATTTGGCACTAAATGTTCAGTGGAACATACAAAAATTCATTTGTGTTGTTCCACTGATGGTGATGACCTAGTCCGGCATGGCAGGGCTGTGAGAGCTGTGTACTGTACACACTCTCCACATCGTTCACTTCAATATGCATATCACTAGTAGCAGACACCTGTGTTAGGTCTTTTTTCAGATTTGGGTTATCAAAATCATTGGCATGCTCATCTTCAAGCAATATGCCTTGTATTCCAACATCAGATGATGTTTTCTTAAAAACATAGCCGACTAGGGCTGGGAGCTCAATATGGATGAATACGACACGGTTGCTACCTTGAATATGAGCCTACCCAAGACCGTGGGGAATGCTGGGAATTTTTTTCAATCTGTCAAACACCTCAGGAATCCATCTTGTACCCAAGTCAACACCGCGTTGGACAGGTGTTTGGGAGCCAGGGGCGCATGTGCCACTCATTGTTGCTCACTCAGTGCTAACCCAGCCAGATGCCCTAGGACATTCTGGGAATTTTTTCCAAGATGGCTGCCTCTCACTGGAGGTCCTAAGAGTCCATTTTGTACCCAACCTACAGCGAGTGCACTTCGACTGTGTACGAAGAAATAAAAAATACTTTTGTCAGTTGGCGCAGTAATTGGCGAATGGCATTTGTCACTTCGACTGTGTACGAAGAAATAAAACATACTTTTGTCAGTTGGCGCAGTAATTGGCGAATGGCATTTGTCGTTTGGCACAGTGCAGTGGTTAAGGTGTTATGCGCACCCCTGATTGAGCAAAATTATACGCTATTTGCATTTCAGAGGGTTAATACACTCAACATAACTGGGTAATAACACCATGATTAACCCTTAAACTGCACAACACGTCATATGATGTGTTGAGTAACTTGCTATAAATTGTGCATCATGTCATATGACGTGATGGAATACCACACAAGATATGAATGGCCGGCGGGGTAGGGGGGCCCCCCATACACTGCCCAGGGGCTATAGTAAACCAACTGCCATTTTGTAAAAAATATCCAGCTCATGCTACCAATGCGTGAGAGGCCCCAATTACCCAGCGGTCACCATCGCGAACGTATGGCCAAACGCCTCCTGAGCACGCACCACGCAATCACTTACTCAAGAGCAAATAACTAGTGAATTATTTTCTGATGGTGAGGACAGTGATTTTTGATGACCCTGACATTGATAAGGACTACAGACAATTGTCCGATGATAGTAGCACAGACAATGAATATGAGATACAGTACAGTCTCCTCCCATGGCGAGGCCTACATGCTCACCCGTGCCTCCTCGCCCAGTGTCTACTCCAATTCACCCACGACCACACAGTTCTTGTGCTTATTTAGAGTACGAGGATATTTTGGGCGACGAGTCAGAGGAAGGTGACTCATTTTCTGGTTTTCATGAAGTGGATTCAGAGCATAGTGTTACCGTGCCTGTTGCTAGTACCAGTGGTGATACCGGGCGAGAATTTGTCGTGTCAGCAGCGTCTCGCCCAGCCAAGCGCTGCCGCATGGCACCACATGAGGAACCAAGACCCTCATGTTCACGTGATTTCACCTCACGTTTACATAGCGCCCGTACTTTGTGTAGACGGACTTTAGCTCCTGGTCCACGATGTGCAATGCTTCCTCGCTGTCATGCTGTTGCGTCTCGCAGGACAGCAGGTGTACTTGTGTGGAGTAATGGTGACGATTTTATTTCTCTAATTCCTGCCTTTGGCAATAAAGAAGTTGGATTACAGACCTTTCCCTGATAATGGTGAGGACATGTGTGAAATGGATTCTTTACAGCATTTTATGATGAGCCGCTCATGGAATATATTGTATACGAAATGAACCTTCATGCGACTCATCTCATTGGAAAAGAGATAACAGAATATTCACGATTGCAGCGTTGGAAAAACATACTGTAGGTGAAATGTATGTATTTTTGGCAATATGTATGTTGATGAAACATTGTGTCAAACACGCTATCACAGATTATTGGAGCAAAGACCAGGCTATTCCAACACCTTTCTTCGGGAAATATATGTCCCGAGACAGGTTTCAGATACTCCTCAGGTGTCTTTATTTTGCAAGTAATGAGGACCGGACAGAGCATGATAGACTTTGGCGAGTGAGGGACTACTGTATATGAATGAAGTGATTGGAAAGTTCAGAGAGTTCTATGTACCAGCACAGAAGCTGGTGATTAACGATTCCCTTGTGCTTTTTAGAGGACGTGTTGCATTCAAGCAGTATATTCCCTCCAAATGCAACAGATTTGGATTGAAATTCTTTGTTCTTTGTCACTGTGAAACAGGATACGAGTTACACGTGATTCTGTATTCTGCTAGCGATGTAGACATTCCCGGTAACGACCAACATGGTTTCTCAGGTAGTGTGGTAAAGTCACTGATGTCACCATGGATGAGCAAGGGCCACATTTTATACACGGATAACTGCTATACAAGTCCTTTGCAAGCTAGGTTCTTGATTTAAAATAGAACTGGATTGTTCAGCACAGTAAAGCCAAGAAGGGAAATGCCATTGTTTGCCAATAAATTTGACTGCCAGCTAAGAAAAAGTTATCAAATACGCTCAGGTGGAAAGACAAGAGAGAAGTGAATTTGCTGACAACAGTTCATGATGGTACAATGGTGAACAGTGGCAAGGCGAACCGAATAATGCAAGATCCAGTATATAAGCCAGATTGTGTTCTTGACTATAATATCAACATGCATTTGGTTGATATATTTGACATGATGGTGGGCACTGTCGAGTGTGTGCGGGAAAACATTGAAGTGGACGAAAAAAGTGTTTTTCCATCTTGTTGACATAAGCATGCTGAACAGCTATAATATGTATCTGGTGAAAACTGGACGTAAACCAAGTTTCCGTTCGTTTGCTTTTACACTTGGACACAGTTATTAGCAAAGTTTGGCAAAGATGTTCCTGGCAAATATTGCCGGAACAACCGTGGACATTTTCAAGAGGAAACTAGATTTATTCCTCCAAGGAGTGCCGGACCAACCGGGCTGTGGTGGGTATGTGGGCCTGCGGGCCGCTCCAAGCAACAGCCTGGTGGACCAAACTCTCACAAGTCGAGCCTGGCCTCGGGCCGGGCTTGGGGAGTAGAAGAACTCCCAGAACCCCATCAACCAGGTATCAACCAGGCATACAAAGACCCATCATGAACCCAGTGGTGCAGCATGCTGCTACACCAAGGCTCACTCACACGGAGGGCATTCAAGCACACCGACTAAAACATTTGCCACCAGCTGGAAAGCGTGCAATAGGCCAACGTGATTGCTTAGTTTGTAGAACAAAAAAAAAGAGATCAGAAACGTAAACGTATGCAAACATGGTGTGAAGCGTGTGCAGTTCCATTATGTGCTGTCAACTGCTTCAATACCTACCACTCTCTCCAAGACTTCTTAAATGTGCAATAATATTGCAAAAACCTGTAAATAGTGCGTGCATGTACGTAAATATAATAATGAACACTGTGAATACATATTATATTGGCATAATGGGAAAACATTTTTGTGCGCATGTGTATACTCAATGTATGCAACATTTATTACCATTGAACATGAAGTAACATTATATGCAACACAATTAGTGATTAATATTTGTGATAAAATACGCCTAAACACTGTAAATAATGCAACAAAAATAAATTTGTGGCAATTCTGACTGCTTGAGGACTGCGCGCAATGCCTCTGGGACGCACCTTGCATGAGCAAGCATGCAGGGTGTGACGTCATCGCTCATATTGTCGGCTCATTTATGTCATTTGTAAGTACGATTAATTTTTTTCTCTCTCGTGGTCAGGGAACACAAATTAACAGGTTAGGAAGAATTTGTTTTTTCTTTTTTGTTACACGCCTGTGGGTGACAAGGGACAAATAGCCCTTAGCAACACACTGGTTAATACACTCAACATCACTGGGTCATGCCAATATGATTAATACACTCACCATCACAGGGTAATGACAATATAATTAATACACTCGCCATCACTGGTAAATGACAACACCAACATTAATACACTAGTTAATGAAAATATCTTGATTAATACACTCACAATCACTGGTTATTGACATCAACATGACAAACACACACACTGGTAGTACAGTAAGAATAAAATTGTCCTTACCATCATTAATGGGCAGAAGTTGTGTTTGCTATTATCCTGGGTAGCCGAGCAGAGACTGGACGCAGTATTACCTATTAAGGCAAAATAAAACAAATTTAAGGTTTCTATGACTAAATTTTTCCCACCAAAACACAGTAAATGTTTAGAAAAATTAAATAATTTTTTAGGTATTGTGCTTTGAGCAAAAGTAAGGAGGGTAGGGAGGAGTAAGGAGGGTGGGCAGGAGTAAGGAGGGTGGGCAGGAATAAGGAGGGTGGGCAGGAGTAAGGAGGGTAGACAGGAGTAAGGAGGGTGGGCAGGAGTAAGGAGGGTGGGCAGGAGTAAGGAGAGGTGGGCAGGAGTAAGGAGGGTGGGCAGGAGTAAGGAGGGTGGGCAGGAATAAGGAGGGTGGGCAGGAATAAGGAGGGTGGGCAGGAGTAAGGAGGGTGGGCAGGAGTAAGGAGGGTGGGCAGGAGTAAGGAGGGTGGGCAGGAGTAAGGAGGGGTGGGCAGGAGTAAGGAGGGTGGGCAGGAGTAAGGAGGGTGGGCAGGAGTAAGGAGGATGGGCAGGAGTAAGGAGGATGGGCAGGAGTAAGGAGGGTGGGCAGGAGTAAGGAGGGTGGGCAGGAGTAAGGAGGATGGGCAGGAGTAAGGAGGGTGGGCAGGAGTAAGGAGGGTGGGCAGGAGTAAGGAGGGTGGGCAGGAGTAAGGAGGGTGGGCAGGAGTAAGGAGGGGTGGGCAGGAAAAAGGAAGGGGGTATGGGCAGGTTCTCGGATGCCTCCCCTCCCTCTCTAACAGCCTACTGTACCCAAGATTAACCATGTAATGTATCAATTATACAATGTATGTATGTGATGTAACTATATAACCTGAGCTTGTAAAAGTACCTTCATCACCTTCAGTGATTAAGTGCTTAATTGCACACTAGTTTCTCTATCAGCTATCTCACCCTGTCAGAGTAAAAGAGACAAATGTATGTGAATGCATGTGTGTGTGTATATATATATGTATATGTACGTATATATGTGTGTGTGTGTGTATGTATATGTAAGTGCATAAAGTAAATATGGAAGCTGATCAGAATTACATTTCACCTTTGTAAATGCACATCAATGACACTATGTAAAAGACACATCGAACACTTTATGTAGGACATACGTAAATCTGTGTATCTATGTATTTACGTATGTAGGTTAGCTTAGCATTTTAAAAGCACCGAATCACCTTTTGTGGTTGATTGTTCAATAAACCCTTGAACTATATGTTTAACACATCTCTAACCCTGTCCATAGAGGACAGAAGAAAATGTATATATGTTGGTTAGCATTGTATATGTGTGGCCACGTCTGTGGTAGAAAATAATAATAATAATAAAAAAGCCTACGTAATACAAACCACATGCATTAACCCTAAAGCTGCTATAGCCTGGGCTGGGCAAAAAATATTTGAATTATGTGAAAATTATTATTAAATGCTAAATAAATTCACCAACTTATTGGCTTAAGCATCATGAAGGTTTCATCCCAATATTTTCAAAAATGTATTTTAGACAAATATTTTTTTTAAAGGAGAACATTTTGTTGATAAGGAGAAACACTCGTTTAACTGGAACTGAGGGATAATGCAGTAATAAAGAGATGCAAGCACTTGTCCAATGCACAAAGAAGAAGAATAGTAGCAAGAAGTGTCGACAAAGTGGACATGCAGCTGGTGCCTTTATATCATTGCTGAGTAATACATAATAATAACAATAATAATGAGTATGTTATCATGCCCTATTTTGTTATATATCATAAAAATGCATTGCCTAATGTTAATATCTGTTACTTTCACTAAAGTCTAATAAATATTTTTTGGGGGGTATATTTTTTTTTCTAATTTGTTTATTATCTGATGTTGTTATAACCTCTACATCCTAGAGAATGCATACCCATCCCTAACTATGTCAAGATAGAATGAAATTGGTTATCAAATAAATCAGTCACAACTGGCAGAATTTGGGACTTTGAATTTTTTCGACTGAGTTTTTCACAGATTTCAAATTCTATTTTCTTTGTCTCTTTAGGCGGTTTTGATGATTAGGGACCAGATTAGGGCTTTATCACTTTTATAAAGTATACATTTTTATCCCCTAAATAATTACAATTATCCCAATATTTTGTTTTTTTGAGGGTTATTTTTTCTTGACATCATTCCAACACACATTGACCTACAACTTTCACATACTCGAGTACGAATGTCAAACAACGTTTATTAAAACATATAAGTAAATTAATGAATTAGAACTACCTTATTCATTGTCGATAACTTCAATTATCTCAAAAACTAGAGTTTCAACTTTGAGTCAGCTTCAAAAATATCCAGTTTCTGACCAATTCTCACCATTTTTACAAATAATGTGCACAGCTGTCTGTTCTACAATCCTATTACAATGGACTTTTCACAAACCCTAAACGTTTGAAGTTATCCTTTTTTTCTAAATTTGGCGCATAATTCAAATGCCACATTGACGATTTTTTTTTAGTAAACTAAACTGAAAACATATATTCTAAATCTATGAACATGAAGATCATATACTATTCTGAGAGCATAATAACACCAAATGAACAATTGGTGATAGTTTTTATTTTTGCAGCTGATTTCAAAATCTGAAGTTTTCAATATTCACTTTTATAATTATTATTTATTTTCTTAATTTTCAAGTTACGTTTGTGATCATTAAGACAAAGTTGCAGGATTTGCTAGTATGCACAAAAAATTGGAAAGCATTAGAGCAAATTTGAGAAATTGAACTTTGCCATCAGGTCCTGTTGTATATGTATGCCATGGACAGCTCAAGCGTCATGAAAGTTTCATCCCAATATTTTCAGAAATGTATTTAAAAAAAAATTAAAAAGGAGAACAGCTCCATTTAACTGGAACTGAGGGATAATGCAGTAATAAAGAGATGCAAGCACTTGTCAGATGTACAAAGAATAGTAGCAAGAAGTATCCACAAAGTGGATATGCAGCTGGTGCCTGTATAGCATTGCCGAGTAATACATAATAATACCAATAATAATGAGTATGTTATCATGCTCTATTTTGTTATATATCATAAAACCAGCGTTGAATGTAATGAAACGCCATTTTCTGGGCGAGACCTGGAGGGAGGGAGGGTTGCCGGGGAGCCTCCGGGTCTCACCCAGAAAATGGTGTTTCATTACATTCAACGCTGGTTTTCTGGGGGGAGCCCCGTTGGCTCCCCGGAGCTAACTACCCACAGAGGAAGGTCAAAGGGACAGAACCGGGAGGCGGACACCACGCACCCCCCACGGAAACGAGACAACCGGCAGCAAACGCCAACCCAAGGAGCCACAGCCCCGAAAAGTCCCAGGAACAACACGAGAACAACGAGCAGCAAGGCTCCCGCACGAACACCAAAAATCCATGCCCGAAAGACCGCACGGCCACGTCGCCCAGACGGCAGCGAGAGCAGCGAAGCCATGAACACCACAGGCATGAGGGAAGAACACAGGCAGCTTAGCCGCAAGAACACGGCTGACCACCCGGGACACCATCACCCGCGAACCGGGAAGAACAGAACCGGATCAACGCAAAACGCGCTCCGGACCCAAACGCCGTGGCACTCAAACAACAGCGGAGGGCCGCCACTGAACACAAAACATGACACACCCCCGGCCCGACCAATGAAGCACCAACAAACCCTGGACCCCTCCAGAACGCAGCAGCCGCACCCCGCGCCAGAAAAGATGGAGACTGCTGCCACCGAACAACCAAAACGCTAAAACCGAAGGAGCAAGAAAACTCAGCGCCTCGACCCCCAGAGGCAAAGGCCAAAAGGAAAGAGCCGACGAAAAAACACACTGGAACCGAAGGGGCACTACCAACCGAGGAGAAGACAAAGCACGCTGACCAGAGACCAGGATGGTGCAAGCGGCGCACGAACAGGCCGGAGGTGAAACGACGCACAAGACAGCTTACTAACGGTGCAGAAGCAACACCAAGACCGAAAGCAAGCTGAAGCGGCTCCGCCAGCGCCGCACGAAAAGAGGCGACAGTATGTGGCAAGACGACGGCCCCCAACCCCCACCAGAAAACCAAGCCGAGAGTAAACCAAGCTAACAAGAGTAACCACCTAAGAAGGGACAGGAAAAGGAAGGACCGCCAAAATACCCCATACTGCCGCCAAGAGAAGCATGCAGATGGGACACCTACCACGAAGCCACCCGACCACCAACCGGAGGCGAGACCGCGAGGCAGAACATAAGCAGCCCCGACAAGGCCCCTCCGAGCTCAGGAAAAGGAGGAGCCACGGGAAGATCTCGGGCGCGACCACGGAAACCCAGGCGGCACAAGGAGATGGAACGTCTGCCGAACAGAAAAACTCCCCAAAGCATGCAAGCCCGACAGGAGTTCAGAAACAACGGGTTCGATGCGAGACATCGCAAGACTCCCCCCCCCAAAAAAAAAAAACCGACAGGGCAAACTAGGAAACCAAAGAAGGCGGAAGGGTCGCCGCCAGAACAGTACCCGAACCAAGGGGTACGAACAACTGCAATAGACCGAGACAAAGAAGCACATCACAGGACACAGGCTGACAAACGCCCAAGAACACACGCAGAACACCCCTGCTGCAGAGGAGGCAGGAAGAAAGAGCAGAAGCACAAAAACCCCAGAAAAACAACCATGGGTGGACAATCAGGCAGGGACAGAAAACCCCCACGCAATCCCCAGGCACAAAACAGCAGCAAAGTGCCATACCACAACCGGACACAGGAACAAGGACACGCCACCGTGAAACACGGTACCAATGCACACGTGCAGCAGCAGCAACAGGCACCACAGCAACATGCAACATGTAAATAGCAACTCCCTTTTGCAAAGGCAGAGAAACGGAGCAGGCAGACCCCAGACAGGGCCAACGGAGACACGACAAAACCCAGCAGGCACAGAAATCTGCACCAGGCGACCGACGGCGGAGAAACCCTGCTCGATACCTACTGGATGGGGTACTGGGAGCTCTTTTACACCCCAAGCCCGGCCCAAGGCCAGGCTAGACCGGCCAGAGGGTGGCCCTCCAGGCAGCTGCTAGGAGCGGCCCACCGGCCCACATACCCCCACAACCAGGATGGGCCGGAACTGCTATAC